ACATGAAGATCATGGGTCATATTGTCTATAGCATACAGGTGGCACTTTTCCCTCCAACGTTCAAAATGATTTAAACCCTTGGTTCGGAGCCAAACCTAAACAGGTTCGGACGGAGATTTTTGCTTTACCTTTTCCCTTTTTTTTAAATTTGAATAATGAAAATGAGATTAAAATTTAAAATCAAAATTTAAAATTAATAACATGGCATAACAAAAATATTAAAAAATAAATCTCATATTATTTAATAATTAATTTTTTTTATTTTTTTATACTTATAATATTATATATATCAATTGATTTAATAACGTAGTGCAAGTGACCTCATTTATTCCAAATTTTCGTTCCAAATTTGTGATCCCTGTCATTACTCTTTCAATTTCAATACTTATTTTTGGGTTTTTTTTCTAATAGGGAGAAAATCTGAACTCCAGATTTTTTTTTTATTTGAAATTATTCCAACCAAAAAAATGTTTTAACAGGACGGGCCCAATAAAGAACTTAATAATAACACTAACATTGTAATATAGGCCGAAACTGGGCCCCAATACAGTAGATACCATGCCGTCTTGTTTTAGATTAAGAGCATAACGCTGCCGGCCCAATCTCAGGCCTTTTAACATGTGGACTCCATTGGCCGACATAAAGAGCTGCGTGATCAAAGGGGTTGGATAAATCAAATATCAAATTGGATTTCTCTTCCTTTTTTTTATTTTGGTACTAATCTCCGATATTCAAAAATTATATTAAATTGTAATTAATTCAAAATCAAATTAAGTCAAATCTTATAAGAGGGAAAAAGTTCTTCCAACATCTATTTTTTCTATTCACAAAACTCAAATTCAAGATCTTGTTAAAGAAATACCAAATTCTTTTCACTCAAACCAACAAATTGTTAGTTCAGTTTCTTTTTTTATTAATTATATGATAAGAAATAATTCTTCTTCTATATATCAGAAAACATATATTCTAGATCCAGTAGCGGTTACTTTTTTCATAAAAAACTATTTTACAACTTGATATAATTTGAATTACAAAACATCATATTCATTTTTTAATTTAGTTTTATTCAAATAAAAGGCAAATCGTAAACATTGCAAGTAAACGATCCTCAAATTTTATAGTTGAGTTATATCACATGCCCCATGAATTTGCTTTCTCGATTTTATTCTCATAAAAGGAATTGGAGAGGGGATCACATCTAAAGACATGTAAATCTTAGTCCAAAAAGTTCTCAGGTCAATTTTTGCTGGGGTGGTTCTGGGGCATGTCTTCCATCAGTGTAACAATGCACATGTTTTTAGCCCATGTTCTTCGCCAATTCCAAATTAAGTATGTTTGTCTCAAAATCAAAAGTTGCAGGCCTCCCCTTTCTGGAACCGGGGTGTTGGATGTGCATTGCCGGATGGACACACAACTATTTTCATAATTGTATGAAGTGAGCCTTGATTAGGACAAGTCTCCTACCTCATGTGAATAACATGTTTCATTTGGTCACTTTATGATTTCTTTTATAAGCCACAACCAACCTCTTTTAGGCAAAAAAGAGTATTTCATAAGGTGATATATATATATATATATTCATAATTGTATGAAGTGAGCCTTGATTAGGACAA